AAAATTAACGCCTGATGCAAATAACCCTTTATTCATGCATTTATTCAGATGCTGGCCGTCCATTTACTTTCCCCCCTTTGTCTGAGGCCAACCTAGACTTCCAGGTACGGCTATGATATGTTCCGAAACTCCTCAGATACTTCCCTTCTCATTTATGTGGCATTTTCAGAGTGTAATTGCCGCACCCACACGAGATAAATGAAGTCTGCCAAAGCATGAAATGTAATTTACTAAATAATAACTCAGCTGCTGTGGAAGCGTGGGCCTCTTAAAGAGCAATCCCACTTACTGTTGTTAGTTTTAACAATATTTGATGAAAAATAAAGACTGCATTCATGGGCAGAGTAAGCACTTGATGATTTTTCAATAAAAGAGAGTGTGATTTTGTTGTATATATACATCTAAACAAAGGCACATTTGCAAACACAGGGGTACTTCACTTACCTTTTCATAACACAGCAAACACAAGGACTAAAGCATTTAAGTGCTCTGAGAAGCTAAAAGAGATGTCGTAAATCCATATCCTGAAGCTTTTTACCTAAAAAACCACTGAACAAAACAAGGTAACTCCAATTTTAGCACCTCCTCATTCTATTTCCAAAACATACATCCACTTAAAAAAACCCCAATTGCAGTTGCTTTTACTTTATATACATATTTTTAACAACCTCAGTTACATAATTTCTCAGCCCAGTGCAGATGAGAATCGGCAAATGAGACAGAGCTCTGTAACGGCCTGATTCAAGGCACATTGGCAGAAGCGAAAAATGAGCAGTGAGGGCTGTCACTGTTGGAGAAGGAAAAACAAGCAGAGAAAAGGCTTGAGTGAGTTTAGTGTAGGGTCATTTGATGTAGGGGATCCTGCTCTCATGGTACCCTGATAGGCCTGATCTGTTCCAGGTAAAATGAAACAGCTTATGTTTATTAAAATGAAACTGAGTCACTGTACAAAAGACATACATCCTAAAAAATATTATGACTTTCATTCATTTCTTTATTCAACCGACATTTAATAAGAGTGACTTTTTTTTAACTTGGCTCTACACAGGGCAATGAGGATATAAAGGAAAAAAGACATGGCAGTGGATTTTGAAAATGTGACTATGGGTGGGTAGACACAAATATAGAGAAAATTTACTTGCAATAGCATGAGAAGAACAAACTCTGCTCTTCTAGAAATACGTACCCAGCGCTTCAGAGGCAATCAGTGGGAGAGGTGGAGAATGCATACAATATATCGGGGAAAAGAATTTCCACCCAAACAAATTGCAGTTTAGAAAAGCCGTTACGTGATATGTTGCATTCCCAGGTATGCCAGACAAATAAGGCACAGTCACTATGTGTTACGGTGGTGACAAATGACACATAAGGCTTGTGGAACATTTGCTTTAGAGGAAACGGTGTCTGTGTAAGCAGTGCCATGTGTGACATTCTAAGAAGCAGCTTCGAATTTATACAAACGGTTACATGCACCATATATAGACAGATCTGGGGCAAACAGGCATTTTAGGACACAAACAGGATAGCCTTCTAATATGTTCTTAGCATCCTGAATATAACTGCCCATGGTAATATGTCATAATATTAAGTCTTTCATTCTAGAAGACTCCTCCACAAATTCAACTCCATTTCATTCCACTCCTCAGAAACTCTGGAATTTTTGTTTTGCATGGTCCATTTTATCACTTAATCACAGGCTGCCTTATATTGTCATTTGATTTCATGTGTGCATTGCTTGTCTACTGAACCGGAGATAGTGAATCGTTAGAGGGAAGCAATTGTTTCTCCTAGGGCTCTTATGGCTCCCATGTCATAAACTAGCATATAGCTAAATTACAAAGTAGCTGCTTAACAAATACATTTATTGACTTTAATATGAAGATTAAATCTTGTTAATGCCATAAGTGAAGTTGCCAAAACTGTTTTCTAATAGATGAGAATATATTCAGTACCTTAAAATACCATAGTAGGTGGCTTGTCCACACAGCAGCAGATTGCAGACTCATCCTGTCTACATTTCAAGTCAATCTGACACTTATTTATTAGGACTATTAATTATTGCTGTGCAGCTTAATAAGTGGTTCTTAATACCTAGTAGATGCAAAGGACAGGAGTTTTTCACCTCTCACCATTCTGAAATGGGTTGCGTGTATGGTTAATGGAAGTCTGAAGCTATACCTAATTGCTGGAAATCTTCATATAAGTACAGAGGAGAGATCTGTGTTTCCAGTGGGACAATCACCGTCTGCGTCACACAACCACACACAATCAGATTACAGATCTGGATTGTGACTAATATTTGGCTCTCATAGGTGGTTACCATAGAGGGAATCAGTAATAGCATAATTGTCATTTCCTTGGAAAAATTTAATCCACAGATGGATCCCAGCACCCAGCTGCCTTGGTGTCCAAAACTAATGGGAATTTTTACTAAATAAAGACTGATTCAGCCAAAAAAGATGTACTCTGACTTGAGAAATCTGTATCACACATCACTCCAAAAAGTATATATATGCGAGCATTGATTGCATTGGAACACGAGAATTTTCCTAATGGGGACAGAGAGAAAAGTCACTTATTAATTAAAATGCACATTTATATTTTTTCTTTATAAGATGAGGCAATGAAATTAAACAATGCTGTAATGCATGTACAAAGTTTCACTTACTCACTGAATTTATCTTTCATAGTTCTTTATGTAGCTAAATCAGGCAAAAAAATTTTTCATTGAGATTAGGAAGCTGCTTATTAAAATAATCCAGTGTTCTCCAACTTTCTACTTCAAGGAATAAGTCCATGGGAGAGTGAGAGGAATGTCGATGAGAAAGACTAGATTTTTTATTCACCCCTCCTCCCATACCTAAATACTAACCACCAACCATAATTTTATACCTTGGTGTTCCTTTCTTTAAAGATTTTCCTACCATATAAAAATACTTTAGCCTGTGGTACATTCAGTTTATTTACAGTAGAATATGAAAGTAAATCCATTTCAATCCAAGTTTCAGAGAAATAGCATCTTCTTCTGGATGACTGATGTTCAAAAGCAGCTGGAAATAAAAAGTGTTGCCTCTTTGAATTCATATGGTTTGGAAAATTCTTAGCCCTCTACAGATGCACAGATTGAATCATAATAAAAGAAAACATATATAAATGATTAATTTCCTCTTTCCATTTAGGCTTAACACATTTTAAGGAATTAATTAGACCTCTCCCACCTGTTTCTTAGAAGCAATCCAACAGAAAACACATTTCAGAAGAAGGTTGTCTTAGCGGAACCAGCTGTAACTCATCCTCTGTCCTTAGGCTGTCTAGAATTAGCTTGTCTATCTCCAGGTTCTTTTAGCTTCGGGCTACAGCCTGGGTTCCTAGACATCCATCTATTTTGCAGAGTTCATTCAGGTTGTTTATAAATAATACACGACTTAATAAATAAACGTTAAGGTAGACCTCCCTCATGTGAGGCACCATTCCCTCGTACAGGGCTTTAAAAGGCCAGACAGTTAGTAACAGGGCTTGCAGACTGCGTAATCTCAACAAGTGGAATGGATCAGAAATGCATTTGGCTATCAGAGCAGTGACACCGCGTGCATAAACTACTCCACACCCTTTTAATTTCAATATTTTGTTCAGTGCTAGGCAAAGAGGCACACGCTAACACAGGATTAAGAACGTATCTTCAAAACCTAAGCATATTTCACTAGCACCTCCTAGAGGCCATGTGAGGGTATGAGGCTCAGAGGTGAGCACCGGCGCAAACCCTTCCCTAGTAAAGTGCGTTTCACTCCTCTCTCTCTCCAAACACAAATGTACACGGGCTGTGCCACCCAGAATAAGAACTAGATTGTTGAAGTAGTTTGGCAACTCTAAGAGGCCTTTTGGAGGAGTAATAAACTGCACGAAAGACAAATTTGATCACTCGAGGAAGTTAACATTAATCACACACACGTATTTCAAACTCGATGTTAGGAAAAGATTACTAAATGTATTATGCATGCATTATGTAGTGTACACACACATACACAAACTCACACAGATTAATCTGCGAAGTTTCACTACCCAGACCCAGTTAACATCGAATTTAACAGAGGTTTTTTTAAAGGGTCTACATGCTATTGCCTTGTTGCTGGAAATGAGGGCTGGAAGGCGCTGGTGCAGGGGCAAAGCGTGAGTGTCTGTAGGAGTTGCTGTTCCAGAGAATTCATTACTCTCTAATTGCTCCGATTTTAGATCAGCAGAGCGTGCCGGGCGGTGGTGGAGAAAGAGATTGAGGGAGGAGAATGAGAGAGAGAAGAAGTCGTTCACCCTTTGGAGACGTCTGGGTGCTTTGTAAGTAATTTGCGAATGGTGGGGAAGAAAGAGCCCAGCGGCTTTGCAACACTTGTGCGCGTCTAAATCCAGCTGGGTTCTGTGCGCCAGTCGCGGTCTCTTTCCCCATTTAATTTGCGGCTTCTCCGCGTAATGCAGGTTCTGCAGAGGATTCGGGGGGGCGTGAGAAGAAGGGGGGCGCACCCGGGTTGAAATGCAATCCTCTCCCTAGCTGCAGACGTTTCGCCCTGGCACTGGCACCAGCACTTCTCAGGCCCCTCGAGAAACACGCACCGCGCAGTGGCTACAGAGGATAGAAAAAGGGAAGTGTGAGGCTCCGAGAAGGGTAGGAAACTCTGCCTAAGGCCAGGCTGCAATTTTTTGTAGCGGCCAAATCCCGGAAGCGGAGCTTTCCACCTGCTGCTGTCCAAGATGGAGCGCAAGCTCCTCCTGCCCAGCCGGGGCCTGACTCCCGTACCGGGCTCGGAGGCTGGAGGCGGTGGAAGCCGCAGCAGGTTCTCCTAGTTGGCAGAGCCCAGGGCCACGGGTGTAGCATCCTCCCCTCCCTGCTGCGGTCTCTGGGCCGGACGCGCGGCCAGGCCGGCTGCGATTGGCCCGCAGCAGCCCGGGGGCGGAGCCAGGCTGGCCGGTATCTCGTGGGCCGGCTCAAAAGAGCCCAGGATATTGCAGAGCGCACTGGAGCCCTGGCCAGCGCGCAGTCTTCCCCGGCGCCGGCAAGCTGAGTTTTGGGAATTCTGGTTTGCTTTGGCTTACTGGCTCTTACAAACTACTGGATCTTACATGACTCTGTGTCCCCCAACTTCCACTCCATGTCCCCATGCTCCTGCTCCAGCAACAGGTAAGGGCTGCTGTGTATTTTCTTTTCCTCCTTCTGTCTCGCTGCTTGTGTGTCCTGGGGAGTGGACTCGGGCTGCCATTCCCGACTCTACCCTGCCCCGCTGCTCCAGAGGTGCCCAGCTGTCACGCTGCAGTAGCGCTCGCCGAAGCTCCCGAGCCCCTGATCATGCCTATAGAGTTTGTGTGCGCACCAGAACATCCCCAGATCTAAAAATACTGAGACATGCTTGGAACAGTTGAGCAATAGAAACATTTCTCTGCAGCATCTGTTTGTGCTCATAACTTCCAATGCACCAGCTGTAGCGAGATACTGAGTTTGGAGACAAGGGCGAGGGAACTTTACTTTGACTCTCACTCTAACGAAGATAAGGGAAGGGGCAGACGGACAGTCTATATGTAGAGTACTGGTCTCAAACCTTGGCAGACCAGCAATTCTCTTGATCCTTGGCTTTTTTTTTTTTTTTTCTTTGTCATGGCTTCAAGTGTAGCGTCGAGTTCGAAACAGAGCAAGCGTCTCAAAGTTGCTTTGGGGAGGAAGAGAGCAGGAGCTCGAGTTGGAATTGAGCCTAAACACTGAAAAACTTTCACACCATTATGTCGCTTTTCCCTAAGCAACTTATAATTCTTAATAGTACTAACACCTACGTTGAAGACAGCATGGTTTCTAGGGAGCTTAGTGGTGGAAACGACATTTTCTGCAAAAAAGATTGCATCATAACACAGACTCATCGTGACAATTGGAAAAAAAATAGAGATAGGAAATGTTTGTGCCTGGGTAAATGTATCAGTAGGATGATAACCAGGATATGGCTGTGAATCCTGGGGATTTTTATAAACTCAGAATTTACCTCTTAGGAAATAAGACTTTATTTGAAAATGTGTTTTGGGTTTGCAAAGAATGCATATTGCTTTTTATCACCTTTTTCACATTAATAGCCTATAGGCTGTCAGATTTTCTCTCACCAACCACTGCTGTATGTCTGCTGTATATTAGCATGCACTGGTTAGTTTTTTCTTGCTCCTTCCACCCTCATCCCCTGTGTTTTATTTCTGTTTGCCATTATCTGGAAAAATCTCCATGCTCAGGGATAAAAGGTGTAACCTCGAGGACTGTGGGAGGGTGGGAGTTGGGGTCAAGGTCATTTCACTTTGCCTTTAGCCCTTCCCCCACGTGTTTTGGGAGCACTTTAGTTCATGTTATTGGTGTCCCTAGGAATATTTGTTGTAAAGTCTTGTGAATTTGTCATTAAAAGGAAGTCACAGTACTTCCACTTCCATGAGACTCCCCAGTTGTTGAATCTGTAGTTAGCAGTAGAGCCCTTGTTTGACTTTTAAGTAGCTTGAAAGGTTGACTGTGTCTTTACCTGAACAGATGGGCTGCTTTAAGTTTTTCTTTATTTTAGTGTATTTTTGTTTACCACATAAGGTATATTCTTCAGCATTTGTGCATGCTCAATGATGCTGCGTGCATTGTTGATTGTAAATGTTGTGGTGATCACGTAGGTAAATGGGTGTCCCCTTCCCCTTCCTTGTTTCCCCTCCCCCTTCCTTCTGTTTACTGAGCTTCTAAGAGGTTGCTTTGCTAGCAGTTGTGCTCACATAGCAACATGTGCCCAGAGCACACCAGGCTGGTCTATATGGCGTCAGCTGGGGAATAGCTGCTCTAAACACTCATTAGCAGACCTCTCTCTAAGCCCAGCACACTACCTAGCTTGTACTACCTAGCTCTCATCCTTAGTGAGAAACTTTCTTTTCCAGTACATCACGAACATAGTATGGGTCACATTCATTCTTCTTTACTGTTCACAATGACATTTTTCTGTCTTTTTATAATTCATATTGGAAATATTTCCTATATGATAAAAATGATCTAGGGTTACTCATTATGTTATCTCCTTGACATTTTTTACCCATAGCTCCCTGTCCCTTAACATCTACCTAAGATTGAAGCACTGAACTATTTTTTTCCATTGCTTATGCTTAATTTTGGCTCAGCCTATAAATAGTCTTACCATGAACAGCACCACATGTAGCCTCTCAATTTCCCAGAAATATGTTCTACCTCATTGGTTATAGTCTGGGCGAGATGATGATTTGTGTCTTTCAAACTTACATCAGGTCCTTCAGTATTTTGGCTGAAAGGGGGATCCCCCACATTGTTCATCCAATCAAATACCAGTTCTTCTTGGTTGTTCCCATCAAGGAGTCACCTCACTTAGTGTTCTCATCTGCTCTTAATTGATTCTTTCTCCCCAAATCATGTTGATTCTGTCCCTAAAATCAAGATGCATAAAAGCCCAAGTTGCTAATAGAAGTTTTCCCAAATGCTCATGAATTGGTGGTTTTCAGTGAGAGAAGAGCAAGCAAGTTGTCCACTTGCCTAAAGCCACTTGGCATTTGGACAGGTTAATAGGAAAGTCACTTTTCATAGTGGAATATTAAAACAACCTATCAGACTTTGGCAGGTTCTAGATTTTTGCTATGTAATCAGCCCCATGAAAGTCTAAATGCACACACACATATAAATCTGTTTGGGAGCACATCTATTCAAAGTGGCAAAAGTCTCCATTTTGCCCCCCAGAATCTTTTTTCCCCTTTCTGGGTGGAAATGGTAAAATTTGTAAATGATGCTCTGAATGTGGAATACATTCTGTCACTAGCAATGGAAATAAAGCAATAATAGTGGCTCAATCCAGGCTCTTTTCAAGGGTCTAAATGTGGAAAGCTATTCAGAGGAGGCTGGTCGTGTGCAGTTTTGTGGGATTCAGGCTAATGTCCTGGAGTCAAGATTTTTTGGAAAGTCGTAATTCAGTCTTTAGATTTCCTGTGGTGGTTATGCTTTATAATCTGAAAAAGCGCAGAAATAAGTCAGAAGAAATTTGAGACTTGTCTATTCATGGTCCCTAATGCTAACTCAGAAGGAAGGATTATTTTGAATCATGAAAAGGGAATTTCTTGATGTCAGCTTATAAAATGCTGAAGTCCATCAGAATGCAAAGATACAAGAACTATTTAAGTGAAGCCTTTCCCCCCACTCTTGTTTGGGGAAAAATATACCTGCCTCTGGTGTTATGTCTCACCTCTGCCTGGTTTTGTGTAGAAATGCGTGGCAATTTCATGTGCGTAAAATGAGCTGTAAGCAGTGTTTAGAAAGTTCTTTCCGCGTGTCCAGGATCTAGAACCCTGAGGAATAAGAGTCTTGTTTCTTTTGTCCAAGTACAAACTTCCTAGGGAAGCAGACAAAACATTGAAGCAGGTGGAAGACTGGGAAGGCACAGTAACTTCTTTTTATAAAGTAATTCAAAGACACTTTCAAATCGGGCATCATTTAGGTGTCAAAAGCTGCCAAAATGTAACACACATTGCAATTTTCACAGATGACTAATCTCAGGAAAAATGTGTCGGGGCACATTCTTGCATAATAACTTGGATGAGGAGGGAGAAGAGAAAAGACTGTAACAAGGCATTTTTCAAAGACAATGCACCTTGCCTCTCTTTAAGGGGGTGAACAAAAATAAGATAAATGACTTGCTTTTTGTTTGCAGGTGGCTTGGCTGAGATTGTTTTTTGTTAACTGCTTAATAATATGATTTGGTGGAAGGAGAAAGCAAAAGTGCAGTCCTCATTATCAGGGCTTCGACGAATTTCTGACCTTTTTTTTACCTGTTGTTCCTTGTCTGCCTTTAATGCAGGAGATAGGTTTGGTTGCTTGAAATATGGAGAATCACTTTTATTTTTTAATTCTATGCTGCATTAATTTATATTTGATAAAGAAAACACCCTCTGCCTTTTGCTTAGGCTTTTGTTAATTCACCTAAGAGAAAAATAGTGTCTTTGGAGCTGAGAAGGAAAGTTAAAAATCTATAGATAGTTTTGTGTTGTTTTTACCTAGGATAGGATAAGGCAAGAGTAGAAAACTGAGAACTACTGTTTGTTCACATTAGGTATAGGTGAGTGCCTTCTCCATAGGAACATACAGCAAACAGCAGTGCTTGGAAGTGAAAGTGAGCGGACTGACATATATGATCTATTCCTACACAGTTGCCTCTGTTTGGGAAAACACAGAATTGGACTCATATGAAATGAGTTCCTGCCTTATCTCAATCCACTAAAGACCCGGTCCTTTGGCACAAAGGTGCTTACTTCCTAGCCTGTCATTATACATGGCAGTCCCATCTCCAGAGAATTTTCAGGACTCTGATTGCTAGGCAACAGAATTGCGCTCTCTCTCCCCCAGAGCAAATTTGCGTCTTCAAGTCAGAATCACTTGCACTAACAGAGATGTTATCAGGCATTTCTGCAGAGTGGCTGCTTGAAGTGTGCAGAAAGTGGAAGCCAGCCCAAACATTTGCCAGAAATCGGGATCCATTTGAGATGCTTTTAAGGACTTGTCTGCTCAGTTTCATCATTTAAACAAAATAACCTATGCCTTCTGATTTCACCCTTGTCATATTCTCCCATAGTGTACCTGCAATTCAACCGATACTAACATTCTGCATTCATATGGCATGTTCTCTAGATGTGTCCAAGTTCTTGAATCTCCATGTATTGAGTTTTGGATTAACCTTGGAGTTAGAAAGTCTTTCTTCTGCTTAATCACTCGGGACCCTCGCAAGCAGAGAAAGCAAAAGAAGAGAATGAGAGGGGAGCTGTAGACCCATACAACAGAATATTTTAGATTGCTTGCAAATAATAGGAGAAACGGAACCTTAAAGTTTCATGGAAAGAGTATCACAAACAACTAATTTTTCTGCATTTAAGGATTTAATGCTTTTAAGTATAATTTAAAAAATCTTTTATGGAACAAAGAATTAAAAACCCAGTAGTTCAATGTAGGGTATATTTATTTATCTACGTCTGACTCTGTGTCTTGCTAGGAAGTGTTGCCTTAGGAAGCAGAGCCCTTAATAATGACTTCTTTTGTAATGAATGCTCTCTCTGTTTTTGGCAGGACCTGTTCTCTGGATGTCAGCTGAGTTACTAAGGTAACTCTGCATGTCAGTAGAAAGACCTTGGTAGAACCTCAAGGCTCCTGGAGACCCCCAACTCTCCTTTTTTTTTTTTTTTGGTGTGTGTCCTCACTGAGCATTCAAAACTGTTTCTCCAAAGGGTTTTGCAAAAACTCAGACTGTTCTCCAAAGCAGAAGCACTGGAGTCCACGGCAGAAGCGATGGGCAGTGTGCGAACCAACCGCTATAGCATCGTGTCTTCAGAAGAAGACGGCATGAAGCTGGCCACCATGGCGGTTGCAAATGGCTTTGGGAATGGGAAGAGCAAAGTCCACACCCGACAACAGTGCAGGAGCCGCTTCGTGAAGAAAGATGGGCACTGCAATGTTCAGTTCATCAACGTGGGTGAGAAGGGACAACGGTACCTCGCAGACATCTTTACCACATGCGTGGACATTCGCTGGCGGTGGATGCTGGTTATCTTCTGCCTGGCTTTCGTGCTCTCGTGGCTATTTTTTGGCTGCGCATTTTGGTTGATAGCTCTGCTCCATGGGGATCTGGATGCACCAAAGGAGAGCAAAGCTTGTGTGTCTGAGGTCAAAAGTTTCACGGCCGCCTTCCTCTTCTCCATTGAGACCCAGACCACCATAGGCTATGGTTTCAGGTGCGTCACAGACGAGTGCCCGATCGCTGTTTTCATGGTGGTGTTCCAGTCAATTGTGGGCTGCATCATCGATGCCTTTATCATTGGCGCAGTCATGGCGAAGATGGCAAAACCGAAGAAGAGAAATGAGACTCTTGTCTTCAGTCACAATGCTGTGATCGCCATGAGAGATGGCAAGCTCTGTTTGATGTGGCGAGTGGGCAATCTTCGGAAAAGCCACCTGGTGGAAGCTCATGTTCGAGCGCAGCTCCTCAAATCCAGAATTACTTCAGAAGGGGAGTATATCCCCCTGGATCAAATAGACATCAATGTTGGCTTTGACAGTGGAATTGACCGTATATTTCTGGTGTCCCCAATCACAATAGTCCATGAAATTGATGAAGACAGCCCTTTGTATGACTTGAGTAAACAGGACATTGACAACGCAGACTTTGAAATTGTCGTGATACTGGAAGGCATGGTAGAAGCCACAGCTATGACGACACAGTGCCGTAGCTCGTACCTGGCAAATGAAATCCTTTGGGGCCACCGCTATGAGCCTGTCCTGTTTGAAGAGAAGCATTACTACAAAGTGGACTATTCGAGGTTCCACAAGACTTATGAAGTACCCAACACACCCCTTTGCAGCGCCAGAGACTTAGCAGAAAAGAAATATATCCTCTCAAATGCAAATTCATTTTGCTATGAAAATGAAGTTGCCCTCACGAGCAAAGAGGAAGATGACAGTGACAATGGCGTTCCAGAAAGCACAAGTACAGACACACCCCCTGACATTGACCTTCACAACCAGGCAAGCGTACCTCTAGAGCCCAGGCCCTTACGGCGAGAATCAGAGATATGACTTACTGATTCCTTCTGTGGAATAGTTACGTTAAAACACAGTCTGGTGGTCAAAGGCCCGAAACAGTGATTCAGACGACGGTACTGGTGAAGAGGTGGGTGAAGGCAAGTGGCCACCAGGGACTGAGGCGAGCACAATGGTTTCAGAGAAAGACTCTAAGCTCAAAGATTAACGGAAAGCACTAAACATGCCTCCCCATGACCTGATGGCACATATACATGTTGTAGAATAAGTTATGGGGGTCTTGTGTTGCGTTTTGTGTTTTTACAAGACTTGAACTTGCAGGCAAGCCTTGGTTGGGTATTTGACTTATCCAGAATGCTTCTCTTTAGGGAACAAGAATGTTTTTAATGGCATAACAAAGGCAAGACTCTGCCTTAATCTCGAAAAGCTGCTAAAAACTACATGAACACAAATTGTATTTTTGTTGCAGTGTAGTTTTTCCTTAGTGTAATTTAAAAGTCAGTATTGAACTTTGTTGAAAGCTCATGATATGCGCTTCAAAGTGGCAAGTATTTGGCTATTAGCTGCCAAAATGAGAGCCTGATTTTTCGAGGCCAGTAATTTGTTTGCTAGAATTGATTCTCTCTCTCTCTCTCTCTCTCTCTCTCTCCCTCTCTCTCTCTCTCCAGTTACATAAGGGCATTATGTAACACTAGCCAAATGGTAGCCTCCAGGTTGGTTTTTTTTCCCTCCATGATGTTAATGGGTTATCTAAAATTTTAAGTCAGACTACCTAAAGTAAATACCAAAGATAATGCACATTTTTGCACAGTGGAGTTTATACTTAAAAGGGAAGAAAAGATTCCTTGAAATCAAGAAATAATGACTTTGAACCTCAGCAAGACCTGAACTGACTGCCCTCTAGAAAATAGGACATTGTACACACAGCATCTAGTGCTTTTTAAATTTTGTTCTTTCATGTAACTTTTGTATTAAAAGAGGAAGAAGAAAGGGGAAGTGACATTCATACACACGCACACTATGAAAACACCTTTTCTCTCCGGCCGGGTAGTGCTGGTGAGGCTAACACGTAAGGTGAGAGTTGGTGACAGGTTCTTAGATTTTTCTGGGTTTTCCCTTTTTGCACATTCCAAAATTTATTCCATAAGATGAGAGCTTGGTTGAATTTAGTCAGCATCCTCAAAACTGAGCCATCCACCACGGAAGGTAAATTGGTTTAAGTCCTTGCGGTTGAATTCATTTCCCTGACTCTCAGGACATTTCCTGATGGACTTTGCCTTAGAAAAGATGCCACACCAGCTCTCTGGGCTGGTTCTTCTGATCAGTCTGTCTGGAGAAATGCCAAAGTGGGGGAGGCGGCGAGATGCGGACAAGCCTCTTTGGATGTGGTACATCAGCTCCAGCATTCAGGAGGGAGAGGAAAATCACTTAGCGGTAGAGGGTAGGATTGAAAATGTCTCAGTATTTTACAGTCAACAAGAGCCATACAAAGTATAACACAATCACAAAGAAAGGAGATGATGGCCAAAAAGGGTTATTTCTCCTTTATGGGCGCCCACTAATGACTGAATCTGAGCTGATTCTTGTCCCCTGTGGCCCTCACGTGCGGGTCACTATGGACACTGTTTCCCAGAATCCTATCCTGCCCGGCTGCCTAACTTGCTAAAACAATTTTCCTCCACTGTAGTTTAATACTTTTTTCTTGGTCTGAAGTGCCCTATCTGTGAATTCTGGGGTCACTGACTTTTCTTCTTAATTGGAGTCTCAAAACCAACTCTCTCATGGTATTATGTCCCTGTATGCCATTAAAAAACAGCTTGTTCTAGAATCCTGTATTTTGTGAATTGATGTTTGTGACGGTCTCTGGGTCTTGAGCAGCCATATCTGAATGCAGTGCCTGCGATGAGGTCACAGCACCTGCTGTTGTCAGCCTTCCAAGTCCTTGGGTTTGAAACCTGTGGCGTTAAATTCCTGGAAACCAAGACAGAGGTGTCAAGCAAGTGGATGCTGTTTGCAGTTCAGATTGAAAGGCAGGTTTGGGAAGTTGTTCAGAGAGCTGGAGGGACTGGGACTGAGTGAACAAGAGAATCGACCCAAGAGGCAGCAGTTTGGCCATTGACAGTGAGAGGGTACCAGGGGGGCTTCAGCTGCTGCTATTTGATATTTTGCAAAGGAAAATAATCAAACCAAAGAGTATTCAGTGATATGTAAATGAAATGAAGGTGGAGTTGAGAGTGGGGGTGACTGCAGACAAGGCTTCTCCCAGACACACAGGCTGCCACTTAAAAGACTAGAGATACCTGAAGAGGGGGCGGGCATGGGGGGGCAGGAAGGAGGGAGGGAAATCTTTCAACTTCTTTCTGAAACAGAGAAAAAAAAAATCTAAAACTTCTGGTGCACAGGTTTGTTTGTTTGTTTGTTTGTTTTTCAAGAAAATTTTGCAGAAGCTATGTTTTTAAAGTGTACATTTTATAAAGTTTATCAGATATTTTCATATTTAAAGCCAAATGTAAATAGAAGTGTGTAAAGGGAAAAAAGTTGCCATAGCAAGTATACTTCCAGTGCAGCAATTTCTGAGAGCTAAGTACCCGTATGCTACCGGTTAGCATGGTTTTAGCAAGTGTATACCAGCCTTATAAGGTTTGTATTGCTACGTTCTCCGGTTATTTATTTCAGCATGGACTGTTCATTTGAAAGCTTTTTTCTAGTTATTAATATTTTAACAGTTACAAGCTTTTTTTTTTTTTTGTCAAGAGCCACGACACAGGTAATGCACAATATTTTTTTTTGCTGCATTTTACCTTTAAAACATTTGAAACATTTGTCCTTACTGCCCAGGTCTCCTCAATCAGTACACACATGTCATTAGAATGCAGATTGAAGGGACTCACCGCAAATGTCTGGGGTCTATCCCTGGATGCATGTTGCTTCTCTATTGCAAGCAAACCCTCATTGAATTTACTTAGGACTTATTCCCTTTTAAAGAATTCTTTGCCCATATCTGGCTGGGCGTTATATTTTTGGGAGGAGGCATAGACTCTTGGTTATCCTATTTTTTAAATAAAATGTAGACAAAGTGAATTCTATTTTGATTATTGAGAAAGGAATAGTTTTCTATCCCTCTAAGCATATACTTGAATCAGACATTTAAAGAATGTCAGCTCTAGCACTGTAGTTTTTTCCAAATTCCTGGAGAAAGTTTTACCTTTAAGAAACAGTCTGTTAATGAATTATTCTTTCCCTTTGCTTCCTTTTCGTCCTTACAAACTCCCATCCCAAACCTTGATGTTTATTTCATGGGCTGTATCCCCCCAAATTGTTACCCTTGCAAGTACCAAATGTCAGTTCACATTATATGATTAAGCCCCTCAGTAAAGGCAAGAAGCTTGTCCTGAGAAGCAGAGCGAGTTCCTTTTCACTCTGTGTCTGCTAATGTTCAGGTGGAAAAACAAAGTGTTGCATAGTCATCCCTGCCCGCCACGCACTCTCCCAACTAGAATCTCTTTTCTAGCGACGTTGGGTTTTAGCTCTGGCCTCTGGCGAGTTGAACAAACCCGGCCTTGTACAACCGTGATAGTTATTAGCTTCCCATTTGCCGTCCTTTTGTATCTACAGTCTTCCTATTGTACTGCACAAACCATGGATTGTACATATTTTTATATATTATGTCTTATTTTATTATTTCTAAATAAAAACTTCAATGTTGAAAAACTAAGCGGTGCAAGATCTTTGGGCTTCCTCTATGCTCGTGTTGAGTTGTGGGGCTGTGAACACATGCCGGTAACACAATGGGAGAGAAGCCCTATGGTTTGCGTGAATAGAGCCATAGAAAGGCAGGTGCAGTGGGGTGGCAGATTAGGTTAATCCAAGTTGGAGGAAGTCAAGCTCATGTTTTGTTTTTGGACAGAATGACCTAGGTGGAGAAAGGAGAGAAGGAAAAAAAAACCCCAAGAAACAAGCAAACAAAACTAACAAAAAATATAATGTTTAGATTTAGATTTTTGTGTGTGTAATACAAACAATTGCTTTTCTTGGAATCGAGATATTATCTCATTCTCAAAAAGCAAATGAGGAAGTTATGATCGATGTGTTAGAGCTCAGGGGTAGGCAGATTGTCTCGTAAAAGGCCAGAGAGTAAAAGTTTTTGGTTTGCCGAACAGAGAGTGTCTGCCTGAACTCTGCAATTCCAGCCCTGCAGGGTGAGAGCAATGATAAACAGTATGGGGCCAATGGTGTGGCTGCGTGTCAATAAAACTTTATTTACAACTTCAGGTGGCGGGCCAGGTTTCTCAACCTCTGCTGAGATTTTAAAGCTCATCAGTCATGAAGTGATATTAGAATTCAGGTGTTTTCTGCCTCCAAACCTAGTTTACTCCACTAAGGTATATGTTGTTTGAAGGCACAAAGTTACCAAGGACACATGGTCTCAGGGAAAGTATTGCTTCCTCCCTAGCAAATCTGGAATAATTTAACTGCTTTTCAAGATGGGAAATACTGAGAAAACCTGCATTCAGAAATAAGGGCTGCTCCTTACTATTTTTCCTTAGCATACAGTTAACTATGTTTAACTATGTTCCAGCATGGTTCTAGGTTCTTAATAAGTTTTAACTTAAGAAGTTTTAATATAATCTTAATAGCAAACCAATGGAGTGAGTAGGCACTATTTTTATTCCCATTTAAGAAATGAAGGAACTGAGGCCCAGAGAGGTCAAGCATCTCATGCTAGCACACTCAGCTCTAATACACTCAGCTAGTAGGTATTAGAGCTGAGATTTAAACTGAGGCCCATCCAGCCCTGGGCTGTGCTTTTTATCACAACTCTGTGCCTTCCATCTGCAGTGGTTCTTGATAAAAGTTTCACTATCTAAAGTCTTTCTGCTTGTCAGTCGTATCCCCCTAGGTGATGAAAAGCCTTTATTCTTCACACAGGAAGCATACTTCCTACTTTAGTTCTTGGAGAGAGATAACAACTCACAAAGGGTAGGCTAGAAATTTAAGCCTGGATTGTGGGGTTTGGTACATTTCACACTTCGGATTAATCTCACTTAACTAGGAATTGCATGGGCCTGTCCAATGGCAAACTCACAAAGCTCAGTTACTAGCCATACTTCAGGCACCCACCGCGCCAGGGGCCTCTGCTATCTTCCCACAGTCAAAGGTGTAGTACAATCCTGCTGGTGACCTGTCCTACTATGCAAGAGAGAGAATGATGACTCCAGGCAGTGACTTGAAAGCTACAAGCCTCACCTCTACTTGGAAAATGTTTTTATAAAATACATACAAGAAGAGAAAGTAGGGCCAGGTTCAGAGTCTTTCTGCTTAACGCCTTCTTTCCAATGACATCCAAATAAGGCCTCCAAACCCTGGCCTTGCCAGTAGCACCTCTCTGGATGATATTTGTAAAAAAGAAAACAACTTTTTCTGTAGCATGTTCCATTTTAGAGCTGACAAACGGATGAAATCAAGCAGATTAGCTTCCCCAAATTGAACAAAAGAAAGGAAGGGGGAAGGAAGGAAGGAAGGAAGGAAGACTAGCTCTATGTACTTTAACTGAAGTAAAGAAACAAGCCCATGATTAGCATATTTCAAGACCCCAAAGACTTCTTTTTCAAAATAGTTTTGGTCAGGGATCCAAGTCACTGATTTGAGCCACTGTACAAGGGTTGTTATAATGCCTTTTTCAGAAGTTACCTACTTACAAGGTAACACCTGCAAGGTGCAGGTGCAGTAAGATGATCACAATACCTGGCTCTGGAATGAGGTGACCGACTATCCTGGTCTGCCTGGGACAGAGAGGTTTTCTCAGGATGCAGAATTTGCAGTGCTGAAACTGGGGAATTTCTGGACAAACTGGGATGAGTCAGTCATTCACTTTGGGAGCAAGAGAAGCAGCATAGTTGGGGGAGGGGAGAGGTGGGGAAGGACAGGTAAGAAGAAATTGGAATGGGAAGAGCTGGAGAAAGGTGAGCCAGATTCCAGACAGGAATGTAACTAACTAGTAAGAATACTAATGATGAATAATTGCATATAAGTGGCTCTCTCCAAATAACTGAAGTTTATAGCCTCAAGGCATTCATTATTTTGGAGGATTGGTTTTCTAGAATATTATACAATTCTCCACCTTATTCAAAAGGTGGTCTGTGTTATTTAATGTTTCCTCATGTGGCACAAGTTCTTCCTGGTAGGATGTACTTTTAAACGTTTGTCCATTCATTAAGCCATCAGCTGCTGCTTTGTCTGGGGCCAGGAGTCCCCAGGCACCATCTAGGTCTCTCCTTGTGATCTGCTGTGTTGAGAAAAGCAGGTAATTTATTATGAGGACTACATAATTAATACCAGAATGCCAGGCAGGCCAGAAACATGCAGGTTAGACAAAAAGACATGCCTCGAATGTAGGGGTTTTATGGTGACTCTACTTACTCTCAGAGACCTTTTGAATTTTAGATTTGGGATTATATTCTGAGAGGTTGAAGCTATGAAGGGGTCTGATGTCTGAAAAGCTGTTTAATGTGACCAAAAATTTGTCCAGGAACTATTATACGGTTGGTGTTGGTTCCTCCAAGTTTTCGATCTGGACTTTGTCAGCGACAGATCCCAGTGTGGGAAATGGGCAGCACAGGTGTGTGCTCATTTTGTCGTACGCTTGAGGCACGCCCCTGGGTTTCAGATGGTAAAAACTTATGTGTAACTGTAACCACCGGTTATGAAATACTTGCAGCCTGTGTGGTGCTGTGTGACAATACAGTGCATGCCCTCCATGTACAGAAAGCTTTACTTAATGAAATATTTTGGGGGGGGATGTCACCACGGAGTCAGATATTTTTGTAATATCTTATTGGGAATGGTTGAAGTTGATTTTGTCAAAACTCTGTTGCCATGGAAGCTGCTCTTCTGTTTCTTTATGTTAAATGACCTCTTGGACCTCAAGCTCTGCTGAGATTAGGGCTGTGACGTCATCTTTGACTCATCACCTCTCTGATAGGGACTCCTGATCCGAAAGACACCCCTGGGGCAAGTATCTGGGTTCACTCCTGTATAACAAACACATGAATCAAGTTTCACACTGGATGGTTGTGTTTTTTTTTTTGGCTTTCATGTTTCTAATTTTTGCTAACACACGTCTGCATCTGAAGTTGGGGGGAAGCCACTTTTTACTTGATTCTGCAGACAAAGAGAGTATTTCACTAAACAGCATGCAGAGGTGTCCTCAAAAGGGGTTGCATCAGACACGTACACACAGATCGGCAAAAACAGATTGTTTACCAACAGAGGAAGTTCAAAGGCAAGTGCGCACACATCCCTGCAAAACAAAGTGCTCTTAGATGGCAGCCATTCATATGAAAGTGAGGGAAAGTTGAATCAGCGTGCAGGAGGTTTCCTCCTGTTGTGTCAGAAGTGCTCTTGGTGTGAGACCCACGAAGGTCTCCTCCCTGGCATTTCCAGAATCATCTGCAAGTTGCAGCCCCCATGCCCAGGGCACACTCAGTGAGGAAGTTGAGGAAGATGCCTCAGAGTTGCCATAGAAACGGAAAGAAGCACTGAAGCACACCTCTCCTGCATACTCCTTAAATTCATCTGAGTGACTCGATTCAAGGACCAAAAATAAAATGTGCACGGGGATGTAATTATATAAAAAGCTGTGTTCAGTGATAATAAATACAGTATGTACTTTTGCTCAGTCTGCAGCTTGCTTCCCCCTTTCTATTTCAAAACATTTGAAGGATTCAAGCAGGAGTCTTCATTTAAGGTTTAATTGAAGGGAGCCCAAGATTTGGCTAAGGTAATGGTGTGAGATTTTCTTCTGAAAATCCCGACCTTTCTTCTGAATCCCTCCCTACCTTTCCCTGGCCCTTTCTCGATATCTGAACGTGGAGTCTGCTAACACAAGGTCCATTTCCACTGTATGTTCATTTTGGGTCCTTTTGCCTTCAGTTCATTCACCTGAAGGTTTAGGCTCATTCTGTGGAATGAGAAAAATGAAGTGGAAGGAGAATGCCCTAAAGGCAATTAGTGGAAAAGGCTAGCAGAATAATTCTCCTCCCCTTCCTCCTCCTCCTTCCCCTTCTCTTTCCTTTTCTTCCTCCTCCCTCTCCACTCTTCCTCCTCCTTCTTTATTCTTCTCTTTAAAAAAATCCTGTTGCTACTTGCAATAAACACTTCCTTTCCCATTGAAGAGGTGAGGGAGGCAGAAACAAGCATCTCGGAGTGCCCCCCTTGCAATATCATCTCACTTGGGAGGCAGGGCTCAAAATTTAGAGTCTGTCCCTGTCTTTGCACCTTTGGAGGGGTTGAGGGATTCGATTTACTGGAAGAAAAAATTATCTCCTCTTCCTTGTATTCTTTAGTGAAACAAGGCGATCCTGAACCTGCACGTTGGCACGATCCAAAAAGTGCTTAGGCTGCTCTTTCCCGCTCGTGATTTGCATGCAGTTGTGTGCAGTATCGAATTTACTTAGAAAGGAAAATGCAAAAGGTACAAGGTGTGTCTGGTGAGGCAGAATACAATCCTATTTGTTGTCTGTGAATACGCCCTGTCTATTCTCTTGATCTGGAGGATCATGGATAGCTTCTTAGCATTTTACACTGCATGAGGGCCTCCACTAAGGCTTTCTGCAAGATCAGTCCTTATTTCTGCAAATCAGTCCTTTGTATGAATAAAATACGAAAGAGGTTTTCGCATTTTGGAGAGACGGCAGCCTGCAGGTAAAGGTGTGG